CCACATTCCGATCGTGAGCCTCCTTTGAAAATTAGAACTATGACGATGCAGCTCCAATCGGTTGGGACCATTTTCTGCTCCCACATTTGCACTAGTAACTCGTGTAAATCATCCACAAGAGCAGGTCCGCCGAATTTGAAGAGGGCTGGAGGAAGGTCATCAGGTCCCGCGACTTTATTGGACTTCAACAGTTCGATCTCACGTTCGACTTCTGAGCGAGAGGGTGGATCCAAAGGGACAGCCCAGGGAGTGAGGCGATCACTGGTCGGCGAGAAATCTAACAATTCCGACCGATTAAATTGCCTTTTAAATTGCTCAGCCCAACGCTCTAAGCGTTTTGATAAGTTGTGCATAGGCTGTCCACTCTCGTCACGTATAGTTTCACTAACACCAGGTCTTCTGCTGCCCGTTTCCCGTATCAGACGGAATAACTTACGATGGTTACCAAGGGCAGCGGCCATCTCCATCTCTGTTGCACGATGGGACCACCAGGATTCGCGGTCTCTCTTCAGGCTAGCACGGAGTTTTGCCCGCAGCTCTTTGCGAGTTTCATTGTGTTCGCTTCCAGCCGGAATGTGCCGGCGAGCATCGATAAGTTTCAGAGACTGTGAAGAGACCCAATGACTATGTTCGCGATTAGACATACCACATGAGGATTTTCCTGCTGCCAGTAAGATCTGATTAATATGAGACCAGTGAATTTCAATTGCATCCAGTGAGCGTTTATCCAACTCGCATGACAGCGTACTTTGATAGGCATTAAGAACAGCTGGCTTCGCCAGTTGGCTGGTGTCAACACGCTCACAGCGTCGTCGTGAGCGTCCGCCAAAGCGCATGCGCAGATCAGCACATACAAGTGCATGGTCGGTGTCCACACCCGTGCTCCAATTCGAGCGACAGTTCTGGACGCAGCCTCTCCATCGGTAACTTATCGCAATGTGGTCGATTTGCGTCCATAGCTGGTTCGAGGCTGGTGGGCGCCAAGTCACCCTCCGGCGGGTGCTGTGTCGGAAATTAGTGCTCGCAAGAAATAAGCGAGCACCTTCACACAAATGAAGTAACCGCTCACCGTTATCATTATGGGGACCTATACTATGTTGGCCACCCAGATGCAGCTCATCTGTGGATAATTTTCCAGCTTGAGCGTTCAGATCTCCAGCCTGCACTAAAGTGTCCGAGCTTCTCCTGTGGCTAAGGAGCTCGTTCAGTTGACGATAGAAGTCGTCTTTTACCGAGTCATCGCTACAGTTTGTCGGTGCATTTGCAGCGATAACGAATAGACACCTGTTAGTCCCACGTGACTTCGAAGCTTTGAACGAGCCAGCCAATCGGACCGCACACATCCGGCTACTGATTGGAATCCAATCAACCAGAGTAGCTTCAGCCCGGGGACTCAGGTGAATACGAACACCAGCTTGTCCGGTGCTCGAAGCTGCATCGTCACCGGATAGGCGCAATGAGAAAGTGCTGCTAGTGTCACCTGAAGGGGGTCGCAAAGTGAGTACAGAGCTCGAGTCTTGCAGGCGGGTCTCCGATAAGCAGCGGATATCGATCGATAGGGTACCTAATGTTCGAGCAAATGCTGCAATGTGCGAACATTGAGGCAAGCCAATCTGAAGGAGGATCGAGGGCTCCAAATGGAAGCCGGTGAACTAGGCTTGACCGCTTGCTTGGACATGGATCTGTTGACAGTGCAGGAATGACGCTCTGCGTTCACCTGTGAGTTGAAACTAAAAGGCAAGCGACTACTGAAGCAAGGTGGGGGAGGGCCGAGAATTGGGGGGTTGAAAACAGTGGGGATAAAAGTGAAGCTGGAACGGGACGGTAAGAGTGAAAAAGCGCAAGAGGGGGGATAAGAAGACGGGAAGGCTTGAGCAGTAGCATCCACACCCCTACCCACCCTGCTCGATGCAGCAGATAGGGCACCGTTGATTATCCTCTGCGGTGGCCAGAGCATCAGAAATTTGTTTGAAGTGCAACTCATTGTATTGCGTGGGCAGGATACTGTCAGGTTGCCCAGGCCTAGACAGGAGAACGATTAGGGTTCTCAACCAAAGCCTTTGGTTAAAAACGTGACCGCAAGGCAGCGGGTTTGGCATTGGGCTACAAGGAGTCCGGTTTAAGGAAAAAGGAGCCACCCTCATTCCAACCCCCAACCTGGAGGACCCGAAGGCTGAGTTTGTCTGGCCTCTAACCATTGACCAATCTGGTATGAGTGGCTCTGAAGGTGCAAAAATGCACCATCCAGTATAGTTCAATGGTTCACTGAGGCACACAAACCATCGCACCACGGTAAGGTCCAGCCTCATTGCGACGGTGTTACAATCACTACAGATGAACAACTAGTTATGGAGAACAATGCTTTGATTCTGAGTCCGTTGGGTAGCGTTATTGAAGTCGAGATGAATGAGCCCAAGGGCAAAGGGTACACCAAGTTGGTGATGACAAATACAACTAAAAGCCTGAGTGCTGGAACGGAGAGACAAGCACGCACGGATTAAGGGGAAATTGTCCCAGCTTTGCACAGACTATAAGCTACTGAGATCATAATTAAGAGAGACAAAATGAATACAACAAATGTCTTCACCAAGCATTTAAAAATGGGCTCTGAGGTTGAGCGCATACAGTCATAATATCTCGCATGCATGGCACCACTACTCGCACAGCTAATTCGCAGAACCTCCTACCGGTTTTATGGACGTCACATGAACCCGGTACTCTTTGTGAAGTGGCTTATTTGATGCAGCGCCTAGCTACAACGTATCTACGCAATTCCACATTGCGTCAGTGGACAGAACAAACCTAGTTCTTCCAACAATAAAAAGTTTTTTAAGAAACGGATGGCCTGCTGAAGAAACTGCTGAGTTACAGTCATTTATAGCACACAGAAATGAACTGAGCCTGCCCCATTGTGGCACGTTTTGGGATTCCCGTCTGCGTTCTCCTAGCAAGACTCCAGCATAGATCCTGCACGAGTTACACGATGCTTATCCAGGAGTTTCGAGAACGAAAACTTGAGCAAGGGGATACTGCTGTTAGATAGCATTAGACTAATATATAAAAAAGATGCTCGATAACTAGCATTTCTCTTAGGCACACCAACACATTAAATCCTCCGATGCATTGCATCAGTGGCGCTGACCCGACAAGCCGGGGCAGCGGATCCACGCCGACTACCTGGGTCCAGTTAATGCAATCATGGTTCGTTTACTAAGTGATGCCCATTACAACGGGGTTTAAATGTATAATATTACTCAAACGACGCTCGAAACTATCGAGGTTAAAATGCGTTCATTATTCGCCGCAATCGGTATGCCGGTCACTCTATGTACGGACAATATCACCAACAGGTGCCGTGTCCAACCGATCCATCACTAACGGAATTCAGCATAAAAATTTGCCTCTAATTATCCCGCGTCAAGTGGGTTCGCAGGGCGGACAGTACAGACGGCAAAAAGCGGACTTTTGAAACAGCAGGCAGGCCCTCTACAATCTAAGCTGGATAACTTCATGTTTGCTTATCATTTCACACCCAATGAGAGTAAAACTGGTCTCCTGCAGAACCGGTTTGGCGGGATCGTCAGCACAATGCTGATTCTGCTGTTTCCAAATCCGCTCGTCGAGAGAGAAAAGAGGCATAAGAGGCCAACGTCCCCAGATTTGCTAAAGAAGAATGTCATTATGGGAGGAAATGAATTACACTGCAACAAGTCGTCACACGAAACACACTGGCATCTTGCTGCCGTATTTCATTTCTCGGAGTTCAGACCCGCCGACCGAGACGTAGACTGAGCTGTGCGAAGACACAATCAGTCACTGGAGACGAGCAATACAGTCAAGCCGGGGAGATGCTGAAGAGGCGAACAACACGCATTTCCAAGCCAGTCGACAGTTTTGAGGGCCATCACATTCGCACCGAATGTCAGGCTCTAAACCACTCGGACTGAAGGATACCGATATGCATGCATTCACTTACGCCCATCACTCGCATCCTGGCAGTGGTTGATCATATCGTGTTCGGCACAAACGCGTTTTCCCACGCTGGGATTACCAGCCGTATGAAGTACACGAACGCGAATGTTTACTTACGGAGACTAAGACCTAACTTATTGATAGTTTGGCTCAGAGCTTGGTTGTATCTGAAGCTACACGTGGGGGGGGGGGCGACATTTGCTATTCCAAGCTCAGTGAAAAATGCTATTTTTTATGGACAGCGCTGAGGCACGGGCTTTCAATAGGCGTATCATGAGCACACGGCTTCCTTGCTGAGCGCATTAATCCCTTTGTGACATAATTGGAAAGTGCTTTCCCACCCGTTTCCTATCGAGTGGTCAACTGTAAGTCGCTTTCATTTCGTAATTGCGGATAACGTTTTGGAGGTCTATTGAGTCAACCTTGGTGAGGGCTAGACCGCAGTAAATCACGGCAAAAGTCAATCCTACAATCCACTTATTATATTCTGGCGTTTATCATTTAGTCCGATACAAGTTGCCCAGTTAGTGTTTTGACCTCTGTGAAGCACCATTATGTAAAGCAAAATCATGTGGAGACACTCTCACAAGACTTAGTTTGTGCCTTAAGGTAAAAAGCAGGTATTTATCCATTGCAGTTATGCATATCTTTGATTAAAGCGAATCAACCAATCATTTCCGGCTGTCTTGTCACAATCGATCATACAAGAACAGAGGGCCTTTCCTCAATCGCAGCAAAGGTAAACCCACACAACCCTCATCCATGAAATATGACGGTACAACTTAGTTGTTTTGGCGAAGTAACCCCAAACTCCCAGAGAAGTCTTTATAATTATGTGCTTGAATAATAAAGCATTACTATCTGCCGCTCGATGGTTACTGCAGTCCTGTTGTCCACACTGATGTCTCCATCAATTACACTTTACCCTTAACAATTCTTAAGACCGATACTGACCACTCACTGCAAGTTCGTAGCTTTCAGCAAACGGTTAAATATCACACACGCGCACTCGTTATTCGCTGTTTTAGGCACGCGCGAACAATGTCTCATTGATCAGGGACCAGAACGACGAATCCTGATTGCATGCAACGAATATTGTTGTGCAAATGCGACCCATCGATATTGCTGTCCCAACTGCCGCCACAGTGTTCATCAGAATCAATTATGTATATTGAACAACCCTGCGTAAGTTTGTCCAGTGTTGCCTGGTATTATTTTCATGTCCAAATTTGGTATTTGGATGTACCTAGTAAAATCATGACTAATGCCAAGGAAAAATTACAACATTTACGCACACATACGAGGGGATATCAATAAAGTTTCCGGATACGCAGTACACGGATTAGGTGCAGATGACCTGACAAGAAAAATGTAGACTGTAACCCATCCTGAACATTGTTCAGAGATTTCAACTCACTGAACATATAACAGCAACCCAATACAGTTCACAAGTCATAAGGATCGCTATACTTTGACTGTAACTGGAACTCAGTCGATGTCACTGGAGGGCGGTGTTTTTCTACGGCGGTAAATGTAGTTTAAAGCAGCACCTGACTGTTGAGCGATTGTGTGCTGCGTATGGTGATGATACGCCTTCAAGAACCAGTGTGTTTGACTGGTTTGCGGAATTCAAGCGTAGCAGGCGGTCTTTGGATGATGCGGCACGGTGTGCTTGATCTGTGGATGGCACCACAGCAGACGACATTGCTGTTATCCGAGCGTTGCGGGCGAAGGACGGGCGCGTGATTGTTTTACAACTGGGGAAATCCATAGGGATTTCATTGGGAGCAAACTGCACCATCATATATGCGAAACTCGGCTTCAGAAGGTTAGTGCACGATGGGTACCCCTGTAGCTCAGTGAGGACCAGAAAGCAGCTCGGGTGAATTGGCTCCGCACCATGCTTGCTGTTTGATGGTGGACCTTCCAATGCTGTTTGGGAGGTCGTCATTGGTGAGGAGACGGGAGTGTACAGTTTCGAACCAGAGACCAGGCAACAATCGACCCAATGGATGGCCGTTGGTGGGATGCCGCCTCAGAAATTCCACCATGAGCGTAGTGTGGCCAAGCAGATGGTGTATGTGTTCGTCGTCAAGACCGGCCATGTGGCTACTGTACTGCTCATACGGCAGCGCACAGACATCGGAGACTGGTATGCCACGCACTGTCTGCCACAAGTGTTGAAAGCTGTAGCCAGACGTCGTCCAAGGACTCGAGCACGAGGGACCTTGCTGCACCATGACAACGCACCTGCACACAGGTGCCATGTCGTCGTAGATTTTCTGGCTGTAGAACGCACCCTGAAGTTTGGCCACCCACCCTACACTCTAGACCTGGCCCCGTGTGACTATTTTGTGTTCCCCGATATCAAGCGCATGATGCATGGATTCCGCTGAGTCTCCAGAAGCTGTAATAAAAGTATTGGTTGGGCTGCTTGAATGGCTACCTGCTTCAGCAAGGTCTAGCTCTTTCTCCAAATGGTTTAAATGCATGGAACTGTACATAAACTCTGTTGGACTGTACCTTGAGAAAATGTACTGCTTATTTTGTTGTAACAAGTTTTTGTGCATCCGGAAACTTATTGCTCCACCCTCGTATAATACAAACACAGTACGATCTATGCGCAAAATACATAGTCTGGGCAGATATACTTTAACGGAGCTGGTTCATTTGAGTGTTTTCGTCCATAAATTGAACAGAATACCGAGTGCCTATTGAAGCGGGCTCAAGACAAAATGGAGAAAGGTCAAGCGTGCATTAATAAACTCAATCAAAGCCCTGCCACAGAGAAGGCAGTTTCTTGCAAGCTACTGAACTTAGTATTTACCAAGCTCCACCAGCAACGCGGCCACTCCCTGGTCGGCGCAACTTCACGTATGAATTTCACAACCTCGGAAACGTTGCTTAAATCTGAGAAACTTTCATGCATATACACTAATGCCAAAGGGCTCCTGTGTAAACTTACCGAATTTCGGCTACGTCAGGTTGCGAATGCTTGGGACCTAATTTCTATTACTGAAACTTGGTTACACCAAAAGGTGACTGATGCTGAGGTTGAGATAGCCGGAATCTCACTCATCCGGAACAACCCCAGCAGAGGAGGTGAGGTCCTACTGGACTACCGCAGCGACCTGTAATGTGCAATAGTTAGTGATCTGAAACTCACGTTACCGACTCTGTTGCCGTCTCCGACTAAGACACAACGATGCATGTATCTTAGCTGTCGTTTTCAGTCTCCTAACATCCATTCCGGAAATGAATTTCCGCTTGATACATAGCCTGAACAGAGTAACACGCACTAGGTACGGCCACATTCTAATCTCCGGGGTCTTCAATCCACGTGATCTGGAGGTTTCGGCATCACCCAGTAATAGAGAGGTAAGCGGAGCCAATGTCTAGATACGAGGTTGTCCACAACCTTACCGAGGATCACGTGAGCTGTCTGCTGCATGCGAAGGTCACCAGCACGAGCGTGGCACGACATTCGACTGTTTTGTCAAATTTGGGAATCGGGGGCAAAATGATTGGCCAGCAAATACAAGCCCGAGTCAGGGGAGGCGAACCATTGTGCCAAATATGGAAAATCCGTGGGACGGAATTAACTCACACTGGCTGAGAGCCAAACGCTTCCAAAATTAATATGTTTCGTTCACCAATAAATAGAACTGACCTATCGTGTAACATAGACTCCCTGTTTACCGAGCCTTGGCCTTCTGTATCCCGTCGGTTGGTTGGGCGCGTGACTGTATAGCGCGATTATCGTGCGCTATATATTCAGTACGAAACCAGACGGCCAACCAAAAGCAATGGGTAGAACACACAAATTAAGCTAGGGAAAAGTTTATTGGACGGGAGGAGAGTTAGCTAATGCTAAAAATAGAGCACCAGAAAAGAGCTAGCTAGGGAGGATGTAGTTGGACGTCGAGTGCGTGGACGGAGCGTCGGCCGCAGTCGAGTCGCGCGCCAAAGGCTAAGATGGCGTACGTGTTTCCAACAAACGGGAACAACGTTCCAACAGGCAACCCGCCTAATTTCCTAATACATAAGAAAGCCATAATTTGAATATATTTTAGAATAGTTTACACAGTCATACGGGGGAATCTCCAGGTCACTACACAGCCCCCCCGATCGAACTCTAGGGGGCTCCCACCCGGGTCCTCTCTAACGGTGTCA